AGGACTGTGGTGAGGCCCCAGTGAGCTAGGTATGTAAGACACGTCCTGGCCTAGAACCCTGCCTGGACGTGGGGAAAGGCTCAACAGATGTTAGCAGGAAGAAACACTGGAAGGAGACGCACAGAAGTGGCTGCCCATTGAGAAACACAGTCAAGGAGACAGAATGTTCAGGTCACAGAGAGGAGGAATAAGGCTTTTAAAATGTATGAGTATATAATATGTATATAGTGTACTGAAGGGGGCTTCAAAGAGCTTATGGAGAGTGGGATGAAAGATGGTGGAATTCCCCTATGAACTTTTGGACGCTCATATACATGTATAGATTTAAATACAAAATGTGTAAGTCTAGATTTGTGAGCCATCTGGATGAAATACCTATTCAAAAAATTGAAATTATTGGCTGTTGCCATTAAGGGTAGATTTGGTGAAAGGCCCACTTAGCCCCAACCCCTTGCCATGCTGCCAGGGTCACCTCGTTTCTCCCTTGATCCCTGAGCAGGGAGGAAGTTCCCGCTGACAACAGAAACACAAAGGGAAGTTGGGTTTTGCTTCCCTGGGAACACACTCCCCTCACAAAGGGAAGTTGGGTTCTTGCTTCCCCTGGAACACACTTGTTGCCAGCTCGGAGTGGGCAGTGTGGCTTTGAGGTTATAAACCACCACTCTGCTAAGCTAAGCCCTGCTCTACCTCTTTCCTCCCCCTTTGTGGTGCAGTGAATTACTGTGACTCTTAGAGCCATAATCTTGTGTGCCTTCCCACACAATAATGGGAAGGGCTATGGAAATCAAGGTGCTTGTGGCTCACCAAAGGGATCAGGCAGCTTGCTTCCAATATAAATAAAGTACACAAACCCCTTGGGTGGGTGGAACCATGCAAATAAGGCACATTGAATCCCAAGGAGGTTATTGGTGCAGCTTTGCCTTCATACTAGGCTGAAAAAATGAGCTGTCCCAGAAGTGGAAAGTGGGGACCTCACTGCCATCAAGAAAGACAAGGCAGGAGCAAGTGTATCCTTTGGACCCTGATTCCCTGCACTGCGAACATCCTAGAGGAGTGGTTCTCAACCTATGGGTCACGACCCCTTTGGGGGTCCAATGACCCTTTCACAGGGATCGCCCAATTCATAACAGTAGCAAAATGACAGTTATGAAATAGCAACGAGAATAATTTTATGGTTGGGGGGTCACCACACCATGAGGAACTGTATGAAAGGGTGGCAGCATTAGGAAGGTTGAGAACCACTGTCCTAGACCCAGGACACAGAGAAAGCTATTGCACTGGAGAAGGTATGAGGCAGCAACAAGCACGGAGAAACAGCAGAACCCGGAGACTGACAGGAAATGGCCAGAGGTAAGGCCTGCGAGGTGGCTGAGGACCGAGGAAGGAGGCCTGTTCTGCATCACAGAGAAAACCTGTCCTCAGGAGGTGGGGAGGACCCTGTATGGCCCAATGGAGGTGAGAGCTGCCCTGCACGGAAAGGACACTTTGCCTACGTGTTTCCTGATCCTGACCCCAAGTTGTAACTGTCACTGCCCCTAATAAACCTCACGCATGTGAGTATGGCCAGTGGAAGAAACCACTGAAGCCAGTAGGGAAGTCGAGCACCATGGGAGGGAGGACGGGAGGGATGGCAGGCGTCAAAATTGGGGAAGAAGTCGGAGGGAGGAGGCCTGTCTGACCTCCACCTCCTGGCAGTCAGCCTCGGAATAGGCTGACAGTGACTCTTCTCCTCCTGCCATCAGAGGAGGAGCTCGGATGCCACAGTGCCTTTTTTTTAAGTGTCTTGTACACTCTCAGAGGACTGTCCAGTCTACCAGGTTCAGTCTCACCCTTTCTCTCATCAATCCTCACAATAGCCTGGTGAGGTGCCTGGTGTCAGCGTACTCACTTTACTGATGAGGAAGATGAAGTTCAGAAGTATAAATAATGACCGTGTGTGTGTGTGTGTGTGTGTGTGTGTGTGTGTGTGCGTGCGTCTGTGTGTGTGATGCTACCTGTGGCTCAATGGCTACCCCATGCATAAGTAGTTTGAGCTGGTTTGAAAGTAGAGGGCTCAGAAACCCACATCCAGCTTGCACCTGCTAGATCTTCCATTCTGATTCTAACAGTGACCAGGCCAGTCAACCCACGTTCCCCAGCAGTTATCCATCAGAGCCCATCCTGCAATATCTTCGACCCAATCAAAATCTAGAACCATCCACAAGACCCAGTCTCAATCCCCCCAGTCAGCAGTCAGCCATAGTTAAGGCACTCTCATCCAACCAGAACCACATTTCTCCCAGCTAACAGGAAGTGAGAGGCATAGCATCTCCGTTTTTCTCCAAGCAGAGTGCAGCAGCTGCTGGATGAGCCCAGCAACACAGCAGGAGCCCTTAACCCAAAGGGGAATGCTTCCTGCCGGCTGGGACCAGAGAGACTGAGGTTATTAGGGATGGCAGTGATGGAGTGACCCTTAGGGGCCTCCTGGGGACACACAAACCCTCCGCGACCAGGTGAGACAGCTAAGGCTCAGACCCTTTCATCTCAGAGTCAGAGTCACGGTCTGGTCCAGGGGCTGGCCTCTGTGTGAGCCCTGCAAGTTTTCAGGTCGTCCAGGTGCTGAAGGCTGACCCTGAAACTTAGGGTGAGCAACAGGCAGGAGGGTCCTGGCCCTGGGGCTAGAGGGAAGGACTGGGGGCTGAAACCAGAGTCTTAAGGCCAAATGTCCAGCCAGGGCTGGGGTTAGGCCTGGCTAGCTTGGACCACAGTGTCACCCTTTGCAGGGTGATGGGGCCGGTCCACAGCATTGGGGCAGAGAAACCAAGGCTCTTCCCCAGGAGGAGAGTAGGCCTGGCAGGAGGGGCTCTGCGGACTGGGGGAACATTTCTACAGCATCAAAGACAGCTTTGATGGCCACAGGAAATGCTAGGGCCAAAGACCACAAGAGTGAACAGAATTCAGCCAGGGCTGTGACACTGAAGGAGGGCACAAACGTAGGGCAGATGAGCCCTCCCCATCCTTTGGAGGTGGGCACGCAAAGCCAGAGCCTGACGTCACAGTGACTCTGTGTGGTGTGTGCATGTGGGAGTGGGGGTGGGGGTAGGGGGCGAGCAGTACAGTACAAAAGGCTGTTGGCACTCAGACTGCTGAAAGCACTGTGCCCATCAGAACCCAGGCCCCAGTGAGAACTGTGAAGTGGCACCCCCTCGCTCAGTAGCCGGCACATGCACGGGCCTATGGCTTGAGTAGACCAAGAAGAGCTCCCAGGCCATCAGCTGTCGGGCAGCCGTGGGCCCTGCCCTGAGGGGGGTCTAAGTCAAGTGTCAGTTGGGAAGGAACCCAGCACTTTTCCCGCTAGTTGGGATGTGCACAAATGCTCCCAGGAGCCAGAGGGTGGGGAATGAGAGTAGGGAACAGCCAGGCCCGAGGAACACTGGGCGCTTTAAACATCCCAGGTTTGAAAAGCACAAACAGGCCTGGGTTTCCCAGGTGCTACACCATTTCTGACCAAACTCCACGGGAAAGAGCAGTAGAATGTGTCAGTCGACACAGGATTCAGGTTTCTCGAGTGCCGGCCTGGGGAAGAGACGGCAGCCTTCACTTCCAAGCCAGCCCTCATCTGCCCCCCAGCACTGCTGGACACCCCACAACCACACTCTCACCCTGAGGAAATGACTGCTCCCACCCCACTCCCCAGGCCAGAATCAGAGAAGCAAGACCAGACGGCGAGCGGGGAAGAAAGACAGCAGAGACCGCTTTGAGGCAGAGTGTATTGAGAACAGGAGAAAGAACAGTCCCAGGAAGAGGTTGGTGTGGCCACAGGAGCTGCAGGATGGAAGGTGGGCTCTTCCACTGCTGGCCCCCAGGTGTCAAGCAGAGGAGGGGCCTGGAGAGTTGGGGATAGAGGGACTAGGGGAGGGGCTTGGCAGGAAAGCTGAGCTCCCTCATGATCACCCCCCACGCAGAGCCCCGCATTTTGGGTGGGATGAGCTCACTGGGAAGGCACCCCTGTTCCCATGGAGACAAGCCCGGATCTCATGAAAAACTGCAGGCTCAGCCCAGCATGGGCACCACCCCCACCACCCCTCACACCCTGGGGAGCCTAGAAATAGGGCTGGGGAAGACAAAGTGGGTGGTTCTCAGCCCCCAGCCTCAGGATGCTTCCATCTGAATCCTCTCTCTCAGGTCTATGTTCTCACCCCCACTCCTGACCCGCCCCCCCAGCCTGTGTGTGTGTGTGTGTGTTGTTGTTGTTTTTAGGGAGGGGCCAGCAGTGTTAGCGGTACCTGACTCAAAACCCTCACTGTACAACTAGGGAAACGGACTCCAAGATACCTGGACTCTGCTGGGATTCACCTCTCCTAAGAACCAGGCTTTTCCTCCAAGGACAAAGGCTGAGTCCTCTTTCTGCCACATTGCTCTGCTCCCGAGTCTGCCCTAGCCACGTTACCCCATCTCCAGGCTCTCTGGAGCCCAAGCCAGCCCTGCCAAGGCTCCAGCCAGCCAGATTGCATCAGGGTGCCCTTGCTGACACCTAACCTCCACCGTCCTGTGGCCAGAGCCCATTTCCTTTCTCTGTCCCCATGGGAGACTGTCTTGTCACTTACAAAGCCTTTTCACAGAAGCACCAGCCTCACCTCCCACACTGTCACATAGAGCTAAGAAAACGGAGGCCCAGAGAGGGCAAGTGACTTGGCCAAAGTCACACAGCAAATGGGTATCTGAACACTCCTCTCCTGCCTCTCTCCCTGAGGCCCATCCCACTGCACCAAGGGGGCTGCTTTAATAGAGTGGATCAGGGTTGAGGCCGAAGCCAAAACCAGCTAATGGATAGCCAGAGGTGGGGGTGGGGGAGGCTCTTTCCCTGTTCGCTGCACACCTGCATCTGCACATCCTCCTTCTCTCAGGGGGTTCCCCCCAGGGCAGGGGGGAGGAGCCTGGAGGAGCAGGGATGGAGGTCTGAGCCAAGGAGATTCCCTGAAGTGGAGCTAGATGTTTGGAGAGGGAGTTGGGGTGGGGTGGGGGGGGAGCTGAGCAGAGGGACGGGAAGGCAGGAGGCAGGCAGCAGTGGAGAGCCAAGTCCAGGCCCAGCAGAAGGACTCGGGGCAGGCGGGGAGATGGAGGCGGAGGTGGAGGCAGAGCTGTGAGAAGCAGAGTCCAGAAGGCAGAGGTGGAAGAGAGGCCTGTGGAGGTGAGAATCCAGCAGAGGCAGAAAGATGCCACCGGGAGGCTGGCTCACAGTGGGGGAGGTCCCTCGCGGGCAGCCCATCATTTCACAGGCCTGGCAGGCTCTGCTTGCTGCCAAAGCCAATTAGGGCCTCCTCAGGCACTTCCCCAGCAAGACGCTGTGGTCAGACCCCGCACCCCTCCAGCTCCCGAAGGTCAGAGGACACCCTCTCAGTCTCATGCGGGCCTGGCAGGGAGTTGGCTCCTCAGGGGCCCCTCTCCTCACTCAGAAACAGAAGGGGTCAGCAATCCCTCAGATGTAGGGTTCAATCCCCAGGCTGGTAGGAGAGGCCGGACTGGGGAGACTTGCCCCAGGCCTCCAAGCTGGCTGGCGGCAGCATCCGACCTGGGAATCTCAGGCTCCCATATACCTGACCGGCCCTGGGCCTTCTGGCAGGTTCTATCTCCACCATCCGGCCTTCAGAGGGAGGCCCCCGGCAGGGGCTGGCATAGGGACCCCCGGGGGGAGGGGGTGTCCGGCTACTTGAAGTAGAAGGAAGGCTTCCACACCTGTGCCTCGATGCCCGCGTTCCGAGTGGAGAAGGAGGGCCGTGGGGCTTGCTTGGCCCGAGGGGACCACGCCCTGGAGGGCGACACGGGGGAGATATCGCTGCTGTAGGTGGGGCTCCCGGTGGTGGGCTGAAGGCCCTCGTGGCCCGGCGAGGTGTAGAGCCCCGGTGAGGAGCGGGAGGGCCTTGGCAGGGCGGGAGATGCTGGAGTCCCCGCCTTGGGCAGGCTGGGCACCAGGTCCAGGGAGTTGGGCTTGGCTGGCGAGGCGGCTCGTGGAGAGGCGCGGGCGGGTTCCTTGATGGGCGAGAGGGCGAAGAGCGAGGGCCGCATCTGGTACGGAGGCTGCTTGCTGGGCTCGGGGCGCAGGACCCCGTTCTCGGGCAGGTAGCCGTGATAGAGGGAGGCCGGCGGCGTCCGGGCCACCCGCAGGGCCCCGGGGCTCGTGGTGTACTTCCAGGAGGAGGGCAGGGACATGGTGGGCGACGGGCAGCGGGCGCGCTCGGCGGCGGTGGTGGTGGGGTGCCCCGTAGACTCCACGACATACTTCTCCATCCGCGACTGGCGGCGCGCGTACAGCTCAGCCCCCTTCCCGGACGCCTCGGAGAGGTTCTGGTTGGGCCTGGGCTTCGGCTTGGCCTGGATGCGGGGGGACTTGAGGCAGGAGGCCCACTCCGGCGGGGCCTCGCAGGCCGCGGGGCTGGCCCTGTCCCGGGGCGCCGGCTCCTGCTGGAAGTTGGAGGCCTCAGCCCCCAGCGCAAAGGGCTCCTCCTCCACGCCCGCCTCCCCCTGGTCCCTCTGCCTGCGCTTCTCGTCGGCTGTCTGCACCAGATCCAGCAGGTCTGGGTTCGGGGTCACCTTGGGCTTCTCCACGAAGGTGAACATGGACTTCCGGCCACTCCGGCGTATCATCGACTCCTCCAGGATGCCTGTCTTGTTGGCGGGGGCTGCCTGGCCCTTCGGACGAGAAGGCTGAGGGTCAGAGCCGGGGTATAGAGCAGAATAAGAGGGGGGAGACCTCACCCGAGAAGCCAGGGGGGCTGCGGACAAAGTCTCGGCGTAGGTGGGGGGCGGGGTGAAGTTCCCCAAGGGCCGTCTCTCCAAAGCTGGGCTTCTTTGCACCAAGGGCCTCCTCTCCATCATGGGGCTGTAGGCCATCACGTGCCTCTGTGGCCGGGGGCTTCTGTCGGCCATGGCTGGGGGCTGGGAGGCTGGGCCCTTCCCCCCGAGATGCCGTCTCTCCACCATGGGGCTTCGTTCCATCTGGCTGGTAGCCCCTGGTCCCTGGATCCCAAAGGGCCTGGCCGTCCTATTGACCACTGACGGGGACTTGGCCAGCGTGAGGTGGACCTCACTATACTGCTTGGTGGGCGTGGTGGGGGCTGCCCGCCCAGAAAGGTCATGTTCCTCAGGTGTCGCTGCTTGTCTGGGCTGGATGTCAATGAGCAGGGAGCTGGACATGAACTCTGGGGTGGAAGCCTCTGAGCTAGGGATGGGAGCGGTGTCCCTGGAGCAGGGGGGGGTGGTAGAAGGTGGAGCGGACACCTTATCGATGATGAGGGTGCTGGACTTCATTTCTGGCCCTCCAGCACACAGGGGCCTGGGCTCGGTGCCCGGCACGGTGCCATTTTGAGGCAGCTGCTCCTCTAAGGAGTTCTGTTGGGCACTAGAAGGTGCCACGTGGTGAGGCCCCACAGCAGCCGGGGGGTTCTGGTTGATATCCGGGGCTGGTGGGCTGTGATTGCTGTCAGAAGCTGGAGCCGTGAGCATGGCCTCAGGGGAGGGGAGGTTCTGGTTGATGTCTGCGGCTGGGCTCTGAACTTCAGCTGGAGGTGGAGTTGGTGGGGCCTGCTGGGCCTCACGGTTCTGGGACAGGTGAAGCCCATTGGCCGTCAGCAGGGCTGCGTTCTCCTTTAAATAAACCACCAGCGGCACTTCCTCCTCCTCACTGGCCACCTTCTCCAGGTGCCGCAGCAAGCTGGCCTCCTCTGAGCACCCCTCCATGCTGGGACCCGGGAGCCCTGTGCCAGGACTTGGAGGGTGGGCTTTGCTGGGACTGCCTGGTTTGGGGCGTACTGTGGGCCTCAGGCTGAACCCCTGCGCATGGCCTGTGGGGCTGGCAGGGGGCACACTGAGGCGCTGGGAGCTGGGTTCGGGTCTTCTCTGGCCGTGGCTCTCCAAGGTGAACTCGTTCACCCTCTGCCGGCGCCTGTTGAAGAGTTGGACGCCCCGTGAGTTGGAGCTGGGTGGAGTGCTGAGCTGTGCTGCGATCTGCTGACTCCGTGCCTTGGCCTCGTTCAGATCCTTGTCGGTGAGGCTAGTGCTCCGGCCCAGCGCTGCACGAAAGGGGAGGGGAGACAGAGAGCCAGTTAGCAAGCTCAGATGCCAACCCCGCACCCCCAGGGGTGCACAGATAGGGACTCTGTCCCCTCAGCCCCTCCCATAGCATGATTATCTTTTCTGGGGCTTGGCCATTGCTCACTGCTTCCTAGAATCACCTCGTCACAAATTCCGTGCCCCCTTGAACTCACGTGCCACCCACTGAGGGGAGGAGCCCTCCAGGAGGAGCAGAGCAGAGCCCGGATGTCCAGCAAGGTTGCAGACGCCGTACTGACCAAAGAGGCATGGCTGTCCACGCCCCCAGCCCACTCAGCAGTCGAGGCCCCACTCCCCACTGTGCTCCTGCCTCCTCTCCTTGCACCTCTTCTCTCTTGGCTGGCTTGCTTTCTGTTCCTTGGAAATGCCAAGTCTGCTCCTGCTTTAGGGCCTTTGCACGGGCTGTTTTTGACTTGCAAGGATCTTTTTGCAGGTGAGCACTTTCTTGCCACTCGGGTCTCAAGCTGAAGGCCACTTCTCTGGAGATGCCTCCCTTTCAAGCCAGCCTTGCACCCTCCTATCCCTTGTCCTTGTTTTACTTCCTCCATTCCATTCCCCACAGGGTGAAATGATCCTCTTTACACGTTCCCTTGTTTACTGTCTGTCCCCCCAGCCAAGCTCAGGGGCCATGGCGTGGTCTTCCCTGATCACCACTCTTAACTTGGCCCTTAGGATTACATGTCACTGTCGGTAATAAATATACAAATGAACTCTAGAACGTGTCTTTCACAGGACCCTATGTACTTCCAAATGCATAGTCGTTTAGGGTGACATTAAAGAGAAATAGGAGCCCTGCTGATGTAGTGGTGACACATTGGGCTTCGATCTGTGTGGACATTGTGAGCAACCGTTTACCGTTTATCTTCCCACCCCCACTACATCCCCAATGTCCCTGTATCCACCACAATGAGAAGTTCTCCTCCTTACATGCTTGTGCGTTTATTGTCTGCCTCCCAGCTAGCACAGAGTCTTAGGGGCAGTGACCTGGTCCATCTTGTTCACTAACAGGTGCTCAGTTTATGCCTGCGGAATGGACGGTGACTCGGGAACTGATGAGCAGGTGGGCAGATAGCTGGATCAGCCTGTGGCCAGGGCTAGACGCTCCGCCTGGCTGAGAAAGTCCCTCCAGCCCCTCGCTCCCACCAACTGTGGGAAGCTAATTAGTTCCCGAGGAATCTGACCCTGTCCCCCCTCCTATCTTGCCCTCATTAGCACTGGCCGGACATGCTGACTGGGTCTCTAGGGACAGTTTTTCTGGGCAGCCTGCCAGAGAAGCAAGCTCAGGATTCCGGGCCTCTTAGAGCTAGAAGGACCCAATAGAGGAGCTCTCCCACGCCCCCTCCCCATTTCCAAGATGGGGAAAATGAGGTCCAGAAAGAGGCAGAGAATAGAACAGGCTGACCCCCACATTGGACACACATAGCCAGCAGGGAGGCCCACCCAGAGCAGAGGAGCTGCAGACAACAGCTTCCCTGTGTCCAGGTAACCCCCCCCCCCACGCCCACCCAACCTCTTCCTCCCTTCCCTCTGGTCGCCACCTGTGAAGACACACAGCCTGCCCCACCCACTCAGCCACCTGCCCCCACCTGGTAGTACTCCTCTCCTGCTTAGATCAATCCACTGGTAAAATATGAGGGGTCTGACCTGGGGGCAGCTAAGGAGGGGGCAGCCCTCACACCAGAAGCTGTTCATCTCCTGTGAGGCTTTCCTTAGGGCACACCTGGCAAGCTCCTACACCTCTGGAGTCTTGGTTTCCTTAACCGAGCAGGGTGACAAGCCTGCTCACATCAGGGCTGGGAGCAGCAATGAGGCAATGAATGCCAAGGGGCTGCTAACACAAGGTCAGCAGTTCAAACCCACCAACCCACCAGCTGCTCCCCTGGAGAAAGATGAGGCTGGCTGCTCCCGTAAAGATCTAGAGCCTCCAAACACGTAAGAGTGCAATTCTTCTCTGTCCTATAGGGATGTCTGAATTGGAATTGACTTCCAATGGAATAGCAACAGGTTAGCTGTCGAATTTCTGCTGATAGTAAGCAGGTAACCTGCATCTCTGGAGGTATCTGTTTCCTGGACACCCAGAAAAGAAGCTTTCTCTTTCCAATATGACCCCCTTCAGAAACAACCCCTTTAGGCCCAACCAATCCCTCATGGCACAATTAACTCAGTCCTATGGACACCTACTGTGAACCTCCACTTGTACTTGACCAAGGTCATCTTACAGTAATCGATGAAGCACCATTATTCATTCCTGTTCTTTTACAGAGTACGAGAATGCAGACTGAGAGGTGAGGGTGGTGCTGCCCTCGCTCTGGCTGGCTGCTCCCCCACTACCAGGCACCCAGGAAACACTTGCGTGTGAACAATCCCCACGTCTCAACGTCCCTGTATTTTCTCCTCACTTTTCTACATCAGCCCCATCCCCTGACTGGCTCTAGGCGACCAGCGTCATCGGAACCTCAGTTCTGATCCCCGCCCACCCACCAGCCGACCACTCTGGGCACATGGGAGCCTGCCACAGGGCTGTCATCTGTAATCTACCAGCCACGGAGCCATTGGGTGGTTAGAATCACCTACCGTTAGGTTAGCAGCCATGAGTTTAGAGAAGCCTCGCACATAAGCTGCCCTTGGGCTGGGGAAGGACAAGGGCATTGCCCAGGGTCACACAGAAGAAGGCCGTGGGCCTAGGACCATGTCTGCTGCCCCCAGGCTCCATCCACAGCCAGGGCTGCCGCTGATGGACCCTTTGGCGCCTCCCCTGAGCCTCTGCTCTCAGAGGAGCTGGGCAGCAAAGGCCAGGGGTGAGGTGCGCTGCCCTAGGGGAAAAGCTCCCATGCCCCCTCCCACCCCCACCCCCACCCCCACCAGTGACTCGATGGAAAAGGAATTTGGCGGGAGGCTTGGACTGAACCCAGCTAGCAATCCAGGCGGCTTTTGCCACCCTGCACAAACAAAGCTCAAGAGGAGGGCCTTGGCCAATGGCCTCCTGAGGCCCCTATCCGGGGCCCCGGCGCGGCAGCTCAAACCCGGCTCCTCAGATCCGGGAACTGCCACCCCTGGAAATGCCCAGCCACCTGGCATCAGAGGGGTGGGAGTCTGCAGGGGCCACAGAGGGCAGGTGCCTCACTGAGCCCACAGTTCACTTGCCTGCAACCTGTACCTATATTTAGTGCAGAGACCGTTGGGGCTCTGGCCCTTTAAAGACCCACCGTGAGGACATGAAGGAGCTCTGGGGGCATAGGGGGTTCTGCAGCAATCTGCTAACCACAGGGTCAGTGGTTCAAACCCATCAGCTGCTCCAAAGCAGAAAGATGAGTCTGTCTACCCCTGTACAGATGTAAAGTCTTGGAATCCATCGAGGCAGTCCTACTCTGTCCTCTGGGGCCTTTATGAGTCCGCATGGACTGGAGGGCAGGGAGAGTTTATTTTGTTTTTTGGTGAATGTATGGTCAGACAGAAGCCCTAGGATAGGCCCCCGAGAGGCCTGGGCTGTGAGTCCTAGGGGTTCAGCTGGGTTATATCCCAGCATGGGGCGGGGGGAGCACAATCCTTAGAGGGAGGAGTCCGGCAGTGGGACGGTGATGACAGCTCTCAGTGCAGCCCCGCTGGGATGCTGTGTCCTTTGTACTGCTCATCTCTGTAGCAGGTCCTCACCGCTGCTGGAGAGGGAAGTGCTCTTCTTCTCCCCACTTTGCAGGTGGAACAGAGAGAGAGAGAGGGGCCATCCAGGGTCACTCAACTAGTCAGGCGCAGAGCTGGGGTGTGAAGCTCAGACAGTCCAGCTGCCGAGTCCCATCTGGTAGCCACCCTGCTTTCCAGACCAGAACTCAGTGGCGTGGGGTGGGGGGGTTGTCTCCTTAAGCCCCCAGGGCTCCTGACACAGGTCTGCAGAATGACCCCTCTCCATCTGTGCTCACTGCCCTCAGCATTGCTTACTCTAGAGCAGCACACGCTTTCTCAAAACGCATTGCCTCTCAGGAGAAGAGCTAGGGGACTTCTTTTTACTAAGGTAGAAATGACTATTAGGGCATCAAAGGCAAGTGGAGCGTGAGGAGTATGGCTTGGGAGTCCGGAGACTCCAACTCTTGTTCACTCAGGCTGGTGGCAAGCCCTATCCCTTGCCCCACGCCCTCCACAGATGGCTCTGCCGGTTCCACCCTCCGTGGTGCATGTCTGGACCCACGGCAGGGAGGTGGGGTAGGGGAAAGGAGGCCGTGCAAAAGGTCAGGACAAAGAGAATTCAAGGAAATGCTTCTTCACATGACGCCCGTCAATGGGAGAGTCCGGGCAGGTCAGCAGGGCAGGGGTGGGACCAGGGGATGGCTGAGGGGAGCCCATTGTGGCCATCCGGAAGTCTTGGCAACCCCACAGTAAACAGACCGGGTAAGCTGCTCCCCTGGTGGGGTCAGGAAGGAACCAGTGGCTAGTCTCTGCCCAGCCTCTGGCTCAGCGGGGGCAGGAAGATGACAGAGGGCTGAGGAATGGTCTGGCTACCTTGCCAGCCCCTGTCGTGCAGCCTCTTTAAGGAAGGAGGGACTGACCCCGGGGAGTACACCTGCCCCGACTTCGCGCCCTCCCCCAGGCGAAGAAGCCCTTCGAGGTGGGATGGCAGCAGGGCAGTCCTCGGGATGGGAGGGGGCACCCCAGTCCCAGCTTATCACAGGCAAGTGGGGGGGGTGGGGGTCCCACATGCTTCTTCCTGGATGCCCCCAGGGAGTGCCACACACCCCAGACCACACAGGCCCTCCCAAGTGCACCACTTACTCACTCAGGCCCGCAGGTCCCCCCTGCAGCCCAGCTTCCTGCCAGGTGCTCCCAGCATCTGAGCGGCCTTGGTACCCAGAGCCTCCGGGAACGGCAACGGCAACCAATTGCCTCGCTGACGACGACAGTAAGATCCCACATCCACAGCACCGAGCAGGAGCTGGATGTGGCTTCTCTCCTCCACAGATGACTCAGCCGG